TCAAGTTTTTTTATTCCGCTCAATAGCCGGGATGTGATTTTCACAGAAAATCTTTTTGCGATTGTCAATAGAAAGTGATACAAAGCACGCAAGAATCTTTTCGTGCATTAAAAACGGAAATTTGTCCGAAGTATTTACATTTGGAAGAAACTGTACTTAAGTTGACTTCATCCATTTCTGACACATCTAGTGCAAGTTTAAATGTTATTAGAAAAATATTTAGTTGATAAAAATTTTGTATTTGTACTTATTCTGTATTACCTCGCCATCCTTTTCCATTCCCATGCCTTAAACACACATTTATTTCACATTGGACCAGTAAATTTTCATATTGCCATTACCTGAGTTTGCAGAGATTTTTGTGAAAATTACATTTTTATGCTAGTAAATAGTAATTTCTCAACCAGACTCAGACTTATTTTTACTTATAGTTCTAACTTTACTGCTATAATAGTTTGGGGGCACGCCGCGTAAGCTGACTTCCCGCAAAATGACTTTTATCACGTTTTTGAACGTATTGCATCAGATTGTACACTAACTGTACTTCTCGTACAGAATAAACTGTTTCTTCTAATTGACGTATACTCTCTTCTCTTTCATCGCACTGCCAATTATGTTACTCATTAACTTAACCGAGTGCGATATATCATCTGAAAAAAAATAAAGATGGGAACGCTGATAAATGATGACACAACGATAAGCAAAAGCGATTCCAACTTTTACGTTTGAGACTTTGGTGACCGGCCTTTGCGGAGTGAAGAAACCTTTGGAGAGCTCCTACTTTACAAAGCCTTAGTTATGTGTATAGCAGGGAACATCAGTGACGAAGTCAGGGGTGAAAATACCAACTTTCAATAGCAGCATTCGAAATCCCTGGTTTTGGTGACTGCGGAATTATTAGAGGCGTCGGCAGATTCCTGTCCTGTATGTCCACTTCGAAGTGGATTTCCGAAACCGTGCAAGCCACAGGCAAGGCCATGTGGCGATCGAATATGTCACCCAAGCTATTTCGCAAGTGATCGTTGCATTAATCCATAACCGCAATGGCGACCTTTAACCCTATTTGTCGTTAAGTTTTTCAGTGAGAATCACTCTTTCTCGTTAACCGTTTTGGTCTGTTAGGTGGAATATGGGATATATATTACTTGTTAACAATTACTTCTTGTTGCGAAGAGGTGAAGCGGTCGCTGGGAAAGGCGCTCTTTTTGCCTGATATTGCGAAGGCCAATTCGAAGCTCTTTTCAAGCACAATGTAAGATAAGGGTGATTCACGCATAGGAATTAGTAGTAAGAGGCCGATGTCATGCTACTGAAAGTCTAGGACGATTAGCGGCTGCCTCCTTAGTCTGCTATAGCTGTCCGCTTGTGTGCTTATGTCTTGATGAACCACATGTAAGTAGCTAGGCGCTAGACTTTCATCACCCGTGTTGGATTTTGACATGATGACTACTCGGCCATCCGGCTCCCAGACGCTGGCGTTAGATGACAGGTTGGTTTCTGCGTTCCCCGAATGGCGAACCGCCTTAACTAAATAGAGTCTCAGCACCGTTTATGGATTGAGCAGGTTATTTCACTTGTTGAAGACCGGGGGACTGTGAACCATGGAGCAAATAACTCGCGAACCATATGATCGTCACCTTTTGTGATAATTTAAGGTTTATAAAATTTAGATGTTTCATCGGATCTCGTGGAATTAACCGCGACTTCAGAATTGACGTCATTTCTCCGCATTGCCACTGTGTGTTCAGCAATTCACGCCTTGAGAAGTCTCTCAGTTTCTCCGACGCAGTTGCTTTGTCCACAACTACAGCAGATTCTATAAACTATTCCAAATGTTTCTTGCCATGGCAGTGGGTCTTTCGGTTTTATTATCTGATGCCTTATGTTTGCCTCTGGCCTGTGTTCTACTCCAACTCCAAGTAGTGCGAGAAGGCGGCCGACGGCCTCCGAGACTATCTTGACGTACTGAATCGTTCGTCACCATTTTGGGCTTGGTGTGTTTTTCTTGCTCATCTCGTTTGCTCATGCATCGGTTGAAGTTGTTGTGTGAGTAGCCACTTTCTCTGAGCACCCGTCGAAGAGATTGCATTTTAACGAACTGTGTCTTCCAGTTAATTGCAGTGCATCTCAATATGCCGATAAAGCCTTCTTTACACAACTGTGTTTGTGGCTGAATTCGCAATTACATTCTGGGACTAGCAAATTCGCTTGTATCTGCTTAACTCTCATCACTCGTACCGAAGGATGACATGATGATTTATCGAGCATTTAGCTCAATGGCATTGGCATCGAAAAATGTCTTCATCAGCGTAATCTTCGCGTAGCATATTATTGTCTAATTGAGGAAGAAGGTCGTCGCGCCTTGACTGGCTCCAGAACACACAGAACTGCCGGATTTATCTCGAGAAACTTTAAAACTACCGATATTAAGACCCGCCTTTATAAAATGTATATCTTTGATTTACAGTCAATAGGCTTACACTTGTCACTACGATTGTCAGGCCTGATTTCTTAGGAAATAAGAAGCCATGGAGACCAGAGTGGTAGGAACAGTTTACTCTGTAAGAAGGAGTGGAATAATAGGTAGGAGAAAACTGACCTTCGGATGAGTGTAGTCCGTTCCCTAGTGGGTCGGCAACCGGATTGCGGGCCTGACTGCAGTCATACCAGCGGCCACAGAGAGCGGCCTTTGTGTGAGTTGATCTTGAAGGGTGATTGGATAGACCGCCTAGCAGATGCAGGTATGTGCGCACCTTAGCAGCAGTGACAATTCGCAACGGCTTTCCAAAAGGTAGGTCGGCTCTCGCAGTCACATGCGTGGCGTGCGAGAGAGGTAGGGTTCCAGCCACTACGTGTGCGATAGGTCTAGCTTGAAATAATATTCGTTTCTATTTAGTGTTTCGCGTGTTATTGACCAGCACAAAATTTAGTCCCTTCAGTATTTATTTTAACAAAAACCTTTCGATAGAATCCTTCTTTGGGTCTCAGAGCAGCACGGAAAGCCCCATTCTTCTGTTGAACAGGACCGGGTGTTATAAGGAATATAGATTCTAGGAAATACAAAGGAAAATAAATATAAATATAAAATAAGATTTATAGAAGTAGAAAAAAAACAGGAAAATTATTTAAAGAAGTTAATGTTTGTCAAAAAACGCGCCAAACTTAAAATGTGCAAGGTGTGGTCGATAAGAGATGACCGGTTATGAGGGCAGGGTTTGGTGGAGCAGTCTAGGGAGGGGAGGGTGTAGGGAGGGAAACAGAGCACGGATGAGTGCATGCGTCTAGATGACTGTGGGCCACACCAGATGCAAGGTTTGTAGGAAGTTCATTTGTGCACACAACGCCGGCTTCATCAACCTGATAGCGGTCGCTTCTGTTGTTGCTAGCAGGCGCTGACCAAGGGACTTCGGATGATTTGGTGGAAATTTGTAAATGACTCGTAAAGCTTCGTCGGTGGTCTACCCGATGTACGGAATCAACCATGTTCGCCAGAATAGATCTGTTTATGTTTCTGACTTTACCTTTTCTCAGCCATGCTGAGATGTGCCCCTTTATTCTTAATTGGGGAAGGTAAGGATAGGTTACCAGCTCAGACCACCTCTGTGTGCATCGAATCCTTTACCTTCTCCTGAGGACAGGTTATATTGGTCGCTCGAGTCAGAACCTATCCAAAAGAATGTTTCTTATTGTACTGCAATAACTCACTTGTAGCTAAGTTATTTTAACTGCTTACACCTTTATATTGATTGTAAAACCGATGAGGTTAGTTTACATTAATAGGGTCTTTAGGGGCACTCCTTGCCTGTAACCCTTAAAATATATCTTCATACAAGATGTTTATAATATTTTTATCTACTCTTTTCTATCTGGCATGGTATCTTTTTGTAAACATGTC